TCATCATTTGGATTCAAACTGTTCTCACCGTTAAACTATACATATTACTCAATTTACATAAATATTCTATCAGATTTTGATACTACAAACAACAATAGATCTTTGTTTTTCATTGCTCACAATGTCTCTGCAAATATGATTGTAATGAAATCTTTTGTTAATGTCTAATGTTAGATGACACATCTTTTTCAAATAAATATTCTGTAACCTTTTAGCGACAAATATCATTTCAATGACAGAATTAGTTTTCTTTGCTCTCATATATCTATGTCAATCATGGATCTTAATATCACTTATTCAGTTTACTTTTTTTGTATTTTCATAGAATTTTATAGATGCTAAAAGAAAAGATGAAAGTTTCTTTCTATTTAAGGGCATATATTTTTCCTATAGTACTTTAATTTGAAATCGTTCAGTTAGAGAACAAAAATATCGAGAAGAATTTCTATGAATATTAGAAATTCAAATAAAATATATTTTTTCTGTTTTCAACAGGTATCGATCATAATAAACTGAAATTAACTTAATCAATCTTTGTTGTGACAGAAAAATAAAAAATGTTTTTTGTGAAATTCTCGACCATCTCACAGATGAGATTTAAACTTGATAGAAATAATATCGTATCAAGTTTTAATCTCAGTTATTCTTCCAACAGAAAATCTAGAAGAGATTTTTATTTATTTGTATTACCTGTCGTTCCATTGACAACCAAATCCATTGGTGGAGTGTATGCATTTGAAAAGTTCTCTATAGACATAAAATAGATACAATATATTAATAATTTGTTATTTGAAAATCGAACTCCAATAGATTATCCATTCTTTACCATATTAATGCAATTTCTCACAACATTTGATGAGTGAGTGTGAGTGAGAGATGGACTTAATATTCATACCCTATATTATATTGAGCTGTAAAATAATGTTTCCACACATATGTGTTTCGAAATATAAGCGATTTGATATTGAGATAGACAAGCTTTGATTTTTTCATGATAATATAATACTTTTTTAACTTTACGCCGCCGTCAATTACCCTCACCGGCTTACACATTTAACGACGTGTATCTTCAGCGTACTATGATATGCCTCAGAAATATGGGCTCTAAACGAGACCGACAAAAGAAAACTACTTGCGTTCGAGATGAAATGCTACCGAAGGATGATAAGAATTAATTGGAAGGATATGAAAAGAAACGCAGATATAAGAAAGACGATATCAAAAACAGAAATTATAGTAGACCAGAGCTGCCGGCCTGGCCTGGTACTTACCAGGCCAGGCTTCCTGTCCTGGCTGAATTAAGAAGGTTTGGCCTGGCCTGATCCCGTCCAACCAATGTATTTTGTCTGATTCCAGGCAAGGCCAGGCCAAAATTCTCGGCCTGGCTGAGAAACGGTTTTAATCTTTTTTCTGAAACTATGAGAAAATTTTAATAGCTTGGGTCTTTCTTTTATGAAAAGTATTCGCGATGATTGCCTCTTTATTTCGGCTTTTCTATTTGTATTTTTTCAAGCGGTTGGCAAGGCTTCACTTGACTCTAGATGTGCACACAGTGCATGAACAGCTTGCATAGAAAGTTAAAAAGATCATGAGCATATGGGTGAAAATAGTATGGAAAATTTTCGCGATAGACTGCAATATTTTTTTCTCAAATAATGCTCAATTTGCAAGAAAAATCTTCTATCCCAATAACAATTTTACATAAAAGTTTTCATATTATCCACAGATCAACAAAAGTTTCCAGATGTAGTCACAATACTCGACTAATATTATTATGTTTTGTAAGAACTTGCCTTCTATTAGCGTTGTGAAAATATTAAATTGATTGGAACTGAAACTGTGCATCATTCATAACTTATAGAATACATTCGATTTAAAAAATTACAAATATCAGTTGGCCTGAGGCAGGCACCTGATGACGTGCCAGGCTAGGCCAGGTTATGAAAGCAAACGGTCCATCTCGGTCCGACTCCCAGGCAGGATAAGACTATACCAGATCAGACTAGACTGGAAAAAAGTAGCCTGTTGGCAGCTCTATAGCAGACATAATCAAGAAAAGAAAATTAGGAGTATTCGGCAAAATCTATAGAATAAACGATAACAGGCTGATAAAACACACATTATTCGCAAAAATAGATGGAAAATCTCGAAGAGAACGTCCATGTAGAGAATGACTGAACGATAAGCCTACGGGACATCATGGTCGTGAATAGTGAAATACACCTTATCTTACCCATGATTGTTGCTTGAGCGTTCGAATCTGTAATGATTACTTTCGTATCTTTTTTTGTAACCAAAACGGTTACTACTGTAAAAATAATCCCTAATGAAAAAGTACCGATTATGCTCCAAAATGGTAATTTTTGACATTTCCATTTATATACATAGATATATCGTGGGTCTCTACGAGCAACCTAAAATATCGAATCAAAAATCATTTTCACTATTTAAATTCATCTAACTAATTCAGTTACCTGTAAATCGTGTGGTGATACAGCAGTCGTCGGCATTTCTCTGTAAGAATGGTTGAATAAAAAATGTTTCCATATCTCTCATTTTCCATCTGCCATAAAAACTCAAGTATTCTTATCTTTATTTTTTTCTCTGAACATGAACAAATCCTGTGTTTATTTTTCTTTCTCTTCCGCTCTTTATGAGCAAGAAGATTTCAATACGTGCAGCAAAAAAATGATGTTGTTAGCAGTTCTTCTCTGTTTTCGTTTGTCCGCATAATTGTTTCCATCTTTTACAAGGCTATGAATCAAAATTTTATTCTATTACTCTGAGATATTTAGTGTTGAAAGAGAATGATATGAATCACACAAGGGAAAAAGTTGCAAGAAAATTGAACGAAGTTTTCATTGGCAAGAGTGCTGCAATAGATGCAAAAGTAGAGATCGTTATATAAGCAGATGAACGAAGATGTAGTTTCTGTTTTTAGCCTGATATCTTCTGTGTTCGTTTCTTTCATCATTTTCTTCTTTCTATTGCTAATTAATGCACAAATGATGAAATGCTCTTTACGGAATCGATAGATGTAGTTTTATTGATTATATTGAAACAGCTATTTATCATTTCAAGATAAATAGAGTTTATTAAATACGAGACCATTTGCCTCGGTTAGTCGCTATTTTTATGCGTAGGATGTACAGCGTTTTACAATATTATGTTTTATTTTATTGTCGAAACAAATTTCATAATAGAAAATGCTCCCCTAATTTTTTTATCGGAAGCAACAAATTCTTTTCCTTCCTCTTTTCTATGCAGCAACTAGATTAACGACAAAATGCATTTTTAGTTGTTCCTCCGGAACAAAAGATTCAGTTAGTAACACATGGTGTTAAAATCATGCTGAAAAGTGTGTACTCTCAGACAGAAATAATACATTTGCGTTTAGTAAGGGAGTGAAGTTACCATCTCTAGAGGTGTAAACCGTCGGCTCGAGCAAAAACGTCAGTAGCCAGCCGTCGGCTTTAGCAAAAATCGGCTGACGGCTTGCACTTCTAACCATCACTGCTCGTTTTCGTGGTAAAAGTCCGTTACTCAATAAAGTTAACGGATCGTAAAAAACGTCTAACTTTATAAAAAAAGAAGCCTGTTTCTCGAAAATTTAGGGAATAGAAAATCTGACCCATGAATTTTGTTTATCTAAGACGCTTGTTCTGCGTTATTGTAAGGGTAACACATGATCGTCTCTTTGTTATACGAACAAGGATCCCTTATTATCCTCTGTTTGACAAAGATACAACTCTATTTTACTTTACTGATAGAGGAACCATTACTAGACAAAGGCTCATTAGTAGAAAGCTGTGGGCCCACTTTTTTTTGGACCCGAGTCAGACCCGAGAAGAAAACAATTTACTAGACACGCAATCGATCCAGACCCGGACCCGACCCAGATCCGAACTGAAAACAATTTATTAGACCCATACCTGACCCAGATCCGGTTAGGCTCAGGCCTAGATTCTTTTTACCAATATATAGCACTCTCTGTTTGCAAGGTAGAGGTCCGGGTATACGGTTTTTTGGACTTCTACCCGGCCCAGACCTGAGAAAATTTTTTTTCGTTAGACCCAGACCCGATCCAGACCCGTTTGGGTTTCGGGTCTGGGTCGACTCGAAGCTCCCTACTCATTGGATAAAAAAATTTCCCTCTCAATCCGTCACATTGCAAGAAGAGTTTTCTTTACTAATGTAACGATACAGCATGTAGTTGTTCGGATTACATGTAAGACAATCTTTGCAAACTCTATAGTCGACGCGGACAACATTGCATATTGTTTTTATAATAGTTAAGAAAATCTTTATCAAAATATAATTGATCAAGACGAGAAAGCTTTCAGTCAATCAGATTACAGCAATAATTTTCTTGATTATTGTCTATATACAACTTGGATTTACTCAGACCACATGAAATAGAGCCCATCTAGATCCTAGGATATGTGTGAAGAATACTGTTCTTTGTCCTTACAAAAATAGAGAAAAAGTGTACTGAAACAATAGCATTCCTCTCATGAGCTTCTCAGATCGACAAAATTCAAATAATCATTTTGAGATTCACAACAATTATCACTTATCAGCAGTTTTCGATCAAAACCAATGATTTATATTGATATATTTTGAAAACTGACGATAGAATTCAAATATGAGAGATAATACCTATAATCTAGCCATTGTTTTTCCGTTTCTCTTTTTTTTATTTCCTCCGAAAGAGAATTGGCATGAGCATGTTCAGGCTAATGATAAATCTGAAATAAGAAGATTCTTTCTTACTTACTCCTTATTTGTTTTGCACATAGACGTAGAGAATACACACAAGTAGGGTTGTACCGAGCCCAAGACGAAACCGAGACCCTCGATCAGGACTCGGGTGCGGGTGTGGTGGATGCGAGTACTATCCTTTCCACTCTCACCCACACACCTACCCACACCCTTAAAATTTTATTCAGTGATTTTATTATTTAAAAAAAAAATTCATTCTCTTGTTTCAGAGTAAGATTATGGCTGGTATTTATAACAGCGTTAAAACTTTTATTACGACTCTTAATCTTTTCGAATCTTACCCTCGATCGACTGATACATTCGATATTACGAATGAACGCATTTCTACCTGGATATTTCTTGTTCTTTATACTCTGAGTATTGCAGTTCTAGGCACTTACACTTCGGTGATCATTGTTGAAAAAAGTGAAATTGTAGAAAGCCCATGTCTATCCAAATATCAATCATTACAGAGCAAATATGGCAACTCCTCTGTAACCTGTTTCTGCACAACAGTATCAGTTCCTTACCAAACATTTCTTAGGATTGAGCCAATTTTTCATTCGTTGTGTTCTAGCCAGTTTGTATCATCAGAATGGATTGATTATCTGATAAATGCATCACAATTTTCGTCACCGAAACATGATTTTCGACAAATTGGTCCACGTATCTTTCAATTTTTATCGGGTTTTTGTCAACTAGCCAAAGATGAAATGACAAGTAATTCTCTTCCCAAATTTTATTCACAAAAATTCATTTCAGCTTTGGTGGAATCTGAAGATGTTTTCAAAGTAAAGGCGTATGAAATGATCAATGCTTTTAAATCAGCAGCAGCGAAAGAACTTGCCAGTACATTCGATATAATTCTTTTGACAACAAGCACAAATAAATTAATATCTAATATCTATACTAGTGCCTACAGTAAACGACGTCGAGCAAAACAAAAACTAGTCCCAATAGTACCAATGGAATATTCAAAAAATTGTTCATGTCATATGTCATACCATTGTTCACAAAATATGACTCTCAAAAATGGTTCTAATGGCGATGAATTTCAAGTAACTGGTCTTCAAATTGGCTGTTACGTCGTTCAAGCATTATTACAATCAAATCTTCAATGTTTCTATAATTCAACATGTATCAATCAAATTCAATCGATATTGAATTATTCTACAACTATCAACATTACTGCTTTAAATCATTCATCTAGTTTTCAGTCTAATTCAACTATTCAACACTTAATTGAACAGTCAATGATTGATCAATGGTTTGAAAATGTTTCCTATAAGTTTTATTATGAAAAATGTCAACCATCTCATTGTATTCTTACTTACAGTGGTCGAAATGACCTTATTTATATAGTGACATATCTTTTTGGTATAATTGGAGGTCTCGCAATGGTATTAATGATTATCATCCCACCAATCGTCAAATTTATCAGACGGAAACAACGACCAGTAACAAATGTTCAAATTCACCATGACACCATTGCACGTAAGGAATCACTAATTGTAGTAAAGTATTCATTAGTTTTGAAGGTGGGTGTGGGTATGAGAGAGTGCATATAGTTATATCCCGACCCACGTTCATCTATGCTGATAGTACGTTCTTGAAAAGAAATTTCAATGTATTCTAGGTGATATTAGTATTGGTGAACGACTTGGTCATCTAAAGAAGCAACTGATCGATGCATTAATAAAGTTTAATATTATTCGGAGTTATCCGCCAGCAGTTTCTCAGTATGATATAACGTATGAACGAATTTCCACACGTATAATTGTCGTTTTGACAGTAATTGGAATAATAATTTTAACATGTTATAGTTCTTTGGTGACTGTGACACGATCTGTAAGAGTACTTTCACCATCTCTTTCACTCTATCTGAAATTGTATGAGAAGTATCCAGAGACTTTATCTTGTCCATGTACATCACTTTTGATTAATTATGGTGAATTTCTTTCTCTGAATTTTGAATTACATCCAGTTTGTCGGAGTGATTTTGTGTCTGAGAAATGGACTAATCCTTTAATAAATGTGTCTTCTGAAATGAATGAAGCCTATCAATACCTTCAATCATTTGCATACTGGGGTCCACTCTTTTTTCGTTTATTATCCGATTTATGTCAATTATCAGAGAAAACGATCTATCACAATTTAGCTTTGTTTAATTCGACATCATTTATAACGGTTTATTTATTACCAAACAACACATTTTATCGTTCCAGTGAAATGTTTATCGATTTGTTTGAACAAAATCTGATTCAATCGCTTAATCAATCAATGTCATTGATTCGCATAACAAGTCTAGGAAATGGACATGTATCTCCTATAGCATTACGAGGGTTTGATGGGTTCAATGGGAGTTTGAACGAAGATATAAATATTAATTTGACATATCTAATGTTTTATGACTACGGTACTACTTTGTTGGGGCATTGTCAATGTACGTTAAGATCATTTTGTAAGTTTCAAGCCCAAATCGGCGGGTGGACGATACCAGGAATTTATTGGTCGTGTTCTACCATGGAAGCAACATTAATATCCAATGTTCAGTGTCTATTTAATGATACCTGTTTAAAAACGCTTGAATTGGAAATGGCACGTGCAAATATGCCTGTTCATTCCAAGATTATTGACTTGAAACTGTTAAATCGCAACATATTGCATCCGAATTCAAGTATTCAACAGATTTTTGATCATTCGATGGTTAATCAATGGAAGAAAAATGTGTCATTCAGATCGTATTTTGATCGATGTAAACCCTCTGTTTGTACATATACATTCAACAAAAGATCAGATTTGACAAATATTATTACGACTATACTTGGACTTTTTGGTGGTTTAACTACTCTTTTAGTGAATCTTGTGCCACCAATTATTAAATTTATTCGGAACAAAATGAATAGAAATCAAACAAATATTGGTAAATATCATTTTTTAACCAATCGATCAGTGACACAAGTTAGAATAGTAAAAATTCTACTTTTCTAAAATAAGAGATTCTCTAAAATAAAATCTATTAAAATTGATCGGTGATTATAATATAGATAATTGTTGTTTTCGTAGATTTGAAAAATATTGGTAGAAACAAAAGTTCAAAGACTCTTTACTTCGACATATAGAATAAAATAAAAATATTTCTCTTTAGATATATCAAATGGTCAACGAGTAAAAATCATATGGATAAAGATGAAAAATTATTTCAAAAATTATAATGTCTTTCGATGGAATCTCTCAACAGATCCACATGAAATCAAAAGTGAAATAATATCTACACGAATATTGATATTTCTATTCATACTATTAGTGATGATCTTATCGTTTTATTTGTTTCTGGCTGTCGTAAGTGGTATTGTTCCAGTTGAAAATCCATCGTTTGAAGATTATAATCAGTTGGTGGCTGAATACGATTCAGTTGAATGTTCATGTTCAAGTATTTCTATTCCATATGGACAATTTATTGAAATCAACACTGAATATCATCAGATATGTTACAGTGCTTTTGTCGAACAAAGATGGATAGAATATTTCTCTGATGCAATGTATTGGGCGTGGTATCTTCACCTTAATGAACGTGTTCCATATAGATCCAATCTAGCTTTTCATACAGCTGGTGGAAGGTCACTTGCTGTCTTTTCCGCATTGTGTCAATATATTAATGAAACTATATGGAATAGTCGGAATATATTCTATAATTCAAGATATATTTCCACGTTTATAATAAGTGAAAGATTATTTCGTTTGGAAATCAATGCGACAATAGACCAGTTTATTCAAGATACACTCAATTCGTTCGTCAATACTCTCAAATTGATTGAGATAAGTAGCAGAGCAAATGCGTTGCAAACAGTTGAGAGAACTGATTCATATGTGATGTTTATGGCTAATCATTTAGAAGGAACCTCTGTCTATCAAACATATGGAAATAAGAATTGTTCATGTGAATATCCAACAAGTGATTGTTATCAAGAAGCACAATTTTTTCGTTATCATACGCGTAACTATTCAACGACCTATCAATTTTCTTCGACTGGTTTCTATACAGGATGTTACATTATGGAATCATTGCGTCATTCAACATTAGAATTCTTCTATAATCAAACGAATGTCGATAAGTTACCTGATGCTATAACTGTAGCAGGTTTTCCGCTTTACCCTGATGAAGTAAAACATTTGGCGATTTTAAATGTATCATTAAATAATCCAAAGGAGATCGTTGGTCAAATACTGGATCGTATGCTAGTAGAACGATGGAATCGATCAGTCTCCTATCAATCATATTTTGAAGAGTGTAACTCTACCGAATGTAGGTACACAACCAATAAACGCAACGCACATATCTACGTCGTTACAACGATCTTCGGATTGAGCGGTGGTATTCTTACTATTTTGAGAATGATTATTCCGTTTTTAGTCAGACTTATTAGAAATACAGTTCAGCCTTGGCTTAGACGAATATTCCGGAGAACTGTACAACCAATTGACACATAGTCTCTGTTCAACAACAACAAAAAAACTAACAATCGATTGTTGATCATCATTCTTTACAACTAATAGATCTTACATTAAAAATAATGTGAATAATAACTATTGTTCGTTTCTAGTTGAACAAGTTTTCATTCATCCATACTTGATATCTTAAAACATTCTTTTAGTTCTATCTTGAAGATGTGAGTGTGGATATTGTATTAACCACTAATGTTTTATCAAAAAAATTACCTAATTCTGCTACATCTTTACTTGTATTCGATGATAATAGTGAAACTAATGGCAATAATATAAAAAATAAATTTCCGTCTTGTTTACTATACACTATCAATCTAAATAATATTCAAAATAATTATATTGTATGTAACATCAATCATTAATCTCAATATATAAAATAAAAATACATTTTATATCTTTATTCCTATCGTCATGAATATAATCAAAGGATTATTCTTTCTTTTATTTGACTATTTATGCGTAAATAATACGGAATAAACTAAAGAGATAAAAAAAAGGTTGGATGCTATAAGTATCGATCATTACGTATTTATCACGGACATCAAAAGGTCATTCTTTCCATCATTGAATATGTCTTTATTAAAATAAAAAAATAAATATCTACGATAAAGTTTGTCTATGTCCCAGGCAAAATTAAGTTTTAGACAAAATTAGACAGGTAAAACTTGCTTTTCTTTCCGCGCGAAAATTTGAATTTTATTTTTTTTGATCGGAAAAAAATATCGAAAAAGATGTTTCTATTATAATAAAATAGATTATCTGTATAGTATCGTCCAACTAAAAAAAACATATTAAGAACAACTAATAAAAAATTAGGCAATTCATTGTATCATATATTTTTTCCATTTTTTCTGTGCTCGTCATTTAGAATTAAAAGAAAAAATATCGGGCAAGATTCTTTTGTTAGAATAAAATAAATAATTTGTATAGTAGTTTCCAAAAAAAAACATATTAAAAACGTTGAATAAGAAATTGAGCGAACTCATTGTATCATATATTTGATTTTTTCTGAAAGTTTTTGTGTTTTTGTGTGCTCGTCATTTATTATATACTAATTTATTCAACGTTTAGTATTATGAAAACATAAAATAACTGGTCGTCCCATTTCATAATATATTATTACATAGTTTTCCTAAAATTATTATTTCCATAAATTTTCTATATTAAAAAGTTTTGCTAAGATCTACTAAATTAAATATTTATGTCGCTTGTGTAAATGAACTGTATTCTATTTATCGCGATTCGTTACTATGAAACACATAATGATTAAACATAAGCTATGACGACATTTTTAATTAGATAAATCGATGTATTTTGTTTTTATAATTAAAATATTTTTATTCGATGGAAATATTCAAAAAGAAAATAATACACAATCGTACGTCGCTGTTGCTTTACGTTTATTTAATTACTGACTTTCCTTTTTCTTGAATGTGATCGTAAATTTTAAAATCTGTTTATCATATTTCTTTCTTTGATTTTATCATCACACATAATAAACATAATCTAACTGAAAATATTCATGTCTTTTCCTTTGTAACCGATTTTAGAAATACTTACGAAATCTCAATTATAGAAGAAAAAAATCTACGTAAAACTCTCTTATATTTACCATATTATTCTCCATCAATAAAATCGATTTTTTAATCTTGTTATCATAAAAAAGAAATACAATATAATAAAAACTGAACAATTCATTTCTAGCTAACAATCAATGTCCCCATGTCCCCATTATCAAAAAAATAGTTAATATATTTAAAAACGAAACACTAACAA